TGTGTATCTTTGGCACATTTGCCACTAAAATCTGCCATCACGCCACATTTTTTTTTACATTTTGTGGAGAAAGAAGTTGCACTCAGTGTCTTCTTCTAAGGTTTTCATGTTGATTCCTTCAGTGGTTCTTGGTGCAGCGCCACCACAGGTGAGGGAGGGGAACAGGTTGTTCACAAGATTGTTAGTTTGACACCATGCAGTGTGAATGCGAACCACACCAGCTGAAAATGTAAACAAATCTTGCAATTTTGGTCCCCAATTGAACCGAGTCTACCGGATTATCAGGTGTGGATATGACCTTACTCAACCAGTGATCGCTGAAACATTCATTCATATCAGGTACAAATTTTTAATGATGTAGATTTGTTGGTAATTTAAATAAAACAGTTCTGAGATTTGTTGACTATAGAAGTCCATTCTAGCAATTGAGCTGAAGCTGGTACTTGTCACATATGGRCTCTGCGAAAACAAAGATAAAATAAAGTTTTTTTTTTTGTCAAACTTGTAAATTTATAAAGCATTGTACTTAAGTGCTTAGACTTTATCTTGGCTAACTTGGCAATAGCCCAAGTAATAATGTAAAGTAAATTCAACTTATTTTTTWCATTTTCCAATGTTTATAAACATTAAATTGGCAACAGGCTCTGGCGCGAGATAAAATAAATACTTTACTAAGAATAAATTACCAGGTCACTGGTTCCCATGTCCACCAGTCACTGTGCGAGGTGTGGGGCACACTGAAAATGTTGCAAATCTATCACAGGGCCACATAAAGACAAACAATTCACACCCTCACAGTACCTGGAGAAAACATGGGAGATACAATGCAAACTCCACCCAAAAGGGTCAGAATTTTATTCAGCAACCTTCAAAAAGCACTACCAACGGTGCCACCATGTACATTAGATTACGTAAAAYATTAGTATTCTTTTTTTAGACTGTAAAAAAGAATTATGTAGAATCAGTGACGATTAATATCACTGAATGCACATTGCATTTCATGATTGACATCATAATCACTTGGCCACTAGGGTATATAGCAATTTTGACATTTAAGGAATGTAAAAAAAATAAGACCTAGGCCTATTTTCTGCAAACGTATCTTTTCAGCATGTAACAATGGGACGTCTGCCAAAAGACAAGTCTTTGAGCAGGCRTGCATAAGCACAATACAAATACATGTGACATTAAAATCCAAATAAATAGATGAGGGACATTTTCTTATACGTTCTACAATTTCAAATAATCACATCCAGGTGTTCTATGAACAGGCAGGAAATCAAGGCTGGTAGATTAAATCATCATTTCCCATGGGTGACTGCAGCCCTGCCTACCTATCTGTTTAATGTGACATTAGTTTTTCACTGGAGACATGAACGAGATTTTAAACTTCAATCAAGTGATTACCAAACAGGATGAAAAGGCTACAACTGAAAGAGTCCATATGGCAGTAGTTGTGGGCAGCAGTTTTTGTTGGGAAATGTGCACTTCAACAATTCATTTTCCCAGGATTCTTTATGACACAACTCAAGCAGATTTCCATCTCATTGTCACTGCGTGCGCCATTGCTCATTCACTGAGATGATACAACTTAGAGGTTCGGCACTGAAAGACATTAGCATTTTAGAATACATTAGCATACCCAAAGGGATCTGTGGTAACATTGATTACAAGTAATCACATGCATTTCAATGCTGCTCTGCCTATGATCACACCCAATATGCCAAACGCTACACTCTATTTTTTTGCACCTACACACACATTATCTTGGTAAGGCGCACCTACCCMCCACTGTGTAGCAGGTGCTGTGATATGATTTTGTCTCCACCCCACCCTGCCTGCTGATACGCATGCATGTTCACATGCACATGCATGTCTTTAAAGACAAAGCTGTGAATCAGAGGCGACAGGTCCCTGGTTTCATGCCATCCTTAGCAAATGTAGTGCTAATTGCCATCCCTTCACTGTTTAAAGCAGCATGGATTCAACATGAGGTGCATATGTGGAGCCCAAGACAAAGTCATCTCCTGCTAGTAGAGCATCACAGGGAAAATAGAACAACCAAATGGGGTCTCACCTTGACGTATAAATCACTGCAGGAAATTTCACAAGGTATTTTAAGCTTTTGCTCTCACTGCGTAATCAGCTTCAGCTCATGAAGTTGTGGTTGGCAGCTGGGCACAGACACATGTAGAACTTAGTGTTGTTGGTATGACAGCTGATTAGAAAAATGAGAGATTTGACTGAGGCAGCTCTAATGATCTTTCCATCTGATTGACAGGCCAGGCAAGGCTTCAATTCACACATCTAGCACATCACAGAATGTGATCCATGTACAGCAACAAAGGTCAGACACACATACACAGCTTGTTCACTGCTCTGTTAGATGTTAGAAAAAAATACTATTTGCTTCCATAAATCCCTCCTGTGGCTACCAGAATATTCCACTATTATGTTGAGCATAGCAGGGCTATTTCCTTCCCCAGTTAGCCTGTCAWCAAGGACATTGTACTATATTGTCTGGTAGTGAGCCTAAATGGGTCCCTTTCAGGGGTATTTTCAGGTACTTTCATGAAAGAATGGAGAGGATATTTATATCATATTTCATGTTTTTTTTTAATTATTATTGCTGAGTGAACAGAGTTTAGGAAAACACGCAGGCACATACGCACGGGCACTTTCTTCACTGACCCAGATGACCAAGTCAAGAGCATTCCAGCTCCAAGCAATTTCCTCCATCTTTTCCCAACAGACAGGATCTGTTCAAAAGCACCTGGCTTTAATCTTTCAAGAGAATGCAACAAATGCTGTTGTACACACTACATAGAGAATGTCCAGTATAACCCCATGTACAATTTTTTTTAATTGCTCTTGGAAAAACATTTTGCTTTATCCTGCACAAGGGTCAATGGATAAGGGATGGTTGTTTTTTATTTATTTTTTTTAATTTTATTTTATTTTTTTTTTCAGAACTGGCACACAGCACCAAGCTCCCTAAATGCATTCACACAGATCTATCTTGTGATTATTGGCAATTATCCAACAATTAGCAATGTGCTGATGTCACTTYGATGTGAAAGGCGAAGCAAGAGTTGTTTGCAAAGAAGTGGTCATCCATACTAATAGCCCAGTAGATTGACATAACACCTACATAAACTTGTTGTATTTCAGTCATCATTGAAACAACAGTGAAAGTAAAGGTTGCCATGTGAGAACGTGTGCATGCATCTTAAATAATGTGAGTAGCAATTAATGTGAACAGTTTACAAGGCTCTTGTTATCATACCATTCACTTGGGGAAGAAAAATCTATTTCAGGTCAGAAAATTGGATCACGTTTAAACATTCTGCTTGATAGCAATCCCTGTGTGACTGTAACTGTTTTCAGGATTCAGGTGGACAATGTAAAGCCCAGATTTTTGTAACTATGTTCATATGCAAGAGGACAATTCATATGATACTATTTTCCTCTTAATCTAAAAGTAGCACCACAAAAGGAATATACAGTTTTACAAATCTCCATGTGGACCAAAATATGAATGTAAAATATATTGGCAAACATACATGCAACTTTTAAACGTAACAACAACAACAACAACAACAACAACAACAACAACAACAACAACAACAAAAAGCAGCATAACATCTTAGCTAATGTCCTGTTTAATTGTGACTTGCAGATAAGCACTATGTAAAAAACTTTTTGTTATTTTTTTCTAATACAATAAGGAGGATTAAAGTTTAAAAAGTACCAATACATTCTTTAGGATTGTGCCTAAATAAATATATTTTATAAGCTAACAGTACGTTGAAGTTATCAGCTGAAAAAAATGACAAATTAAAATTACCTCTTTCCACTTGTAAGTAATCAGTAGTGACAAGTATTGACCTCCAAAAGTTTTTTTTTATTACTAAACATTTTTGTAACAAAATGTTCAGTAAATGACTGTTTACAAAAAAGTGTTTTCAAATGTTGAATGATTGGTTTAAAACAAAAGCCCTAATTCAATAACTAGGCTTAAAAAGCAGCTTTTAATCTTTTTTTTCCCACATTCTTAGGTTATCATTTTATACAGAACAGAATTCCATTTCCATAGTTCAATTTGATTGAGTTTTTTTTTTCTTTTTCTGAAAGCATCAACAACCTTGCTCTTAGAGAGCAGAATTTGCTGCAAAAGACAATAATTTCAATGTTTTCTTAAAGGTGTTTTTGATAAGGTCAATACTTTGAGTTCTTGTGTTTTTGAAGCTCTTCACCAAGTTTTATATTATTAACTTGGAGGTAATTTACCAAGCAAAAGACAGCAGGCTSATCTTAGAAATTACCTGACCTCTTGGGAGGAGTTAATATTTAAATTATGATAAAAAAAACATTGTGACACAGCCAAAAATGTCAACATGACTGAGTTCACTGTTTTCAGATGGTATTTGTTTAATCTTGTGTTTAGTACACCAGCATTTCCATTTGATTTTTTTACCCTGTTTCATGTTTATGGTGTTCAGGAGTTTGATGGATCTTAAGTAGAGTTTATATGCTACTTAAWGCTATACCATGACTGCATCATGTTTAACCTCTCCTCCATAATACCCATCACCCTGTAGAGGTGCCCCACTTCTTTGAGTTATGTTCAGTCTGGAAATAATATTCAGGCAGTACAACCAAATTTGATCCCTGCACTATAAATATGATCTATGTTTAAAGAGGTAGTGGATGAAAAATGACCCTTTCGAACATAAAAGTCAGTAATTGAAATACTTATTTAAAGCAGCCTTTAGCTCAAGTTTCAGTTCATTGTATAATGTAAATAACATATGTTAGTGAAGTAATAAAACAGGTAACTTTAGGACATGCTATTCTCTGTAAAGCAAACCCTCATTTTGTTTTGTCAAAAGTTTAGAAAAAAAAAACATGCAGGAGATGACAAATCATCCCTGTATTCATCAAACACAGCCAATCCATCAGACACAGTCTTGCCTCTCAAATAAACAGAGAACACTTACGACATGTGYCACTTTCTCTCTGTGCTGTGATCCATGATATGATGGAAGCACTCATATATCCTGGACAATGGACAATCAATCTTTAGAGCTGTGAAAACAAAGAGAGATGGAAGCTTCTTGTTTGCTGTTTGTCTTTTCCACATTTAAGAAACACTATCCATCCCTCTGCCAATTCATCATGCTTTTCCCCTTAAGAAACTACCAACTGATGTTTATCAAATGGTATAGATTCTCCAAGCATTACCTGAACATTAGAAAGATTGAAAACATGTGCAGAGATGCAAGTCACTCTCCACACTCCCCTCTCCATTTCCACTCATCAATAACAGCCAGCAGAAGGGGTCCTCTTTCAGCCAATCATTGACAGGTGTTTGAAAGACCTTTAAAAGCAAACTGAAGATCCCCCCGCCCTTTTTTTCTCCAAATGTGCTTGAATCCACTTGCACAAAACATRCGCAAGGACACACTGACAGACTCGCACAGTGACCTTGTCAGGAGTGATAACCATCATGTGAAGAGAGCAGCGCACATCAACCTTACAGTTCCTTCTCGGGTTTGCCAAGTAGACATATCAAGTGGATTGCAAAAAATACTAAATGAACAGAAGGTACTGGCAGTTTAGTAGGCATGAAAGCTAATGTTGGGGGCAAAAATAGTTTCTTTGTAAAACCTTGAAAATAAAGTAAAAATATCTGGCAGCAGATGCACTGCTGAGATTTTATTGAAAAGATGTTACAGTGAAGGAAGTCATCTCTTCGATGCACTGTTTGCACAAAAAGAATGAAATCAAATGACTCTTGCATTTGTTAGTAATTGAAAAATGGGTAAAACATATGTCTTGCTGTTATATTAGGCAAAATAAAATGTGAGCACAAGTACGAATCAGGAGTCATGAATACCATCTGTCTCACACATCAAGGCAAAGCTTTTGAAGATATGCAAATACAGAAACAGCGTTCCCCCATCGTCCTAACCTGTTCAGTGTTTTCTAATGAAGGGGAGACTAGCCTTGGCATGAATAACAAAAGCCTGGGAGATTGTCACACTACAACACACCCATGTATGACTTTTGCTTAGCCAGATGCTTTTGTCTGGGATGCTGCTTTGCAATTTGTGCTACACAGTCAGTGTTGTCATTTACACAGGTTGGAACATGATTTATCCCTCTTAAAAGAGGTTGTGAGAAACTCTGTGATGTGATTCATTCAATCCTAAGCACTCTTAAGGCTGAAATGATGCTCTTACGCAAAAAAGAAAAAAAAACCACTGTGTTTGTTGACATTCACTGTACTGCAGAAAGGTAAAAACTCACTAAAAGATCTCCCAGACCTCCCTGATGACAGAAAGGATTTAACAGTCCGACTTTGATCCGTAAATAATAATCTGAGATTTCCCATAGACACATGAGCCAGAGCAATTAAATAGCCATCAAATTATACACTTGTCATGTTATACCAAGGTTGTGCTAGTTCATTTTGATTAAATAAATGGACGGTGTGTGACGGATAACATCTGCGTTGGGCATCATGACTGAAGGCAATGTTTTTGTGGTCAACCACGTAGAAAACAAAACTATGTTTACTGCTTGTTAAGCACTTTTGCAGCACTTTGTATTGTGCTGTTTGAAACCTGAATGTTGGCACAACTTTGAATAATCCTACTGTATGCAAATTTCACTGTGCTGCACATCACAGGTTTACAAATGAACTTGCAAAGATAGAGTTGGAAGCCAAGAGATTCTATTAAATTATATGTGATGATTTGTACAACATATACACCCCCGTACCTCACACGTTCCCTGTGTAGTTAAGCCGCTACAAATGATCCTCCCTTTACAGAATGTCTTGTAGAGCTCTGAAGCTGCACTGTGCTGCTACAATCACATAGTGATTTTAGGGATCTGAAAGCCCAGCTTTCTTTTTTTATACATCTAATTTAGATTAACCTACTTCTTTTTTTTCTCTTTGTCAAGGATGTGTCTTTTGATATGAACTGAACCGCCCTTAAAGCCGATGTGACACAGATGTAAAACACCCAGAAAACTGCTGTACAATTACATTCAGCTTGACTTAGTGGGAACGTTTATCATGTTGACATGTCATCAGCACACTGCTACATGGCCACAGTAGGGGGAGAAAAAAACTGAGCACATCTGTTCATTCAGCTCCACATCCTGCTTTACCTTATTTAAAATTACCTGACTGCATACCATATGTGTATAGTTGCATTCAAACACTTTATTTTCCCAGCTCTAGAAATGGACTGACTCCGCCCAGACATCGTATGTCAAGCTGCCGAGTGGGTCTCTAACGGTGCGTGAAGCTCGGATCAAAGGCGTGCCGCTTTAAATGCTCAACCTTGGGTAAAAAAAAGGCAGGGAGGGGACAGACTTCATATAAACAGAAGGGAGATGGAAAGAAACAATTAGAAGGGCTGCAAGTTCTTTGACACTCAATACGTCCCAGTTCAGAATAGGGATAAGGGGTGAGAGACTCAGACTGCAGTACTAACCAGCCAAAGCAGGACACCTTTTGTAAATGCTGACAGGGAAAATAGGATCTGATTACATCTTTATCACAGTCTGTAATGCAGGCATGGCCAAGGCCATGCTGCCCCCCTCCTTCATACAAGTGTCTTCATGTTTTCTCACTTGAACTGTCTTTTTTGAYCCTGGCTGGTTTATTGAACACGTTCTCACTCCCGACTCGTCAACATATTAACACTTCGTCAGGGACGGTCTAAGTCCAATTTTGACGCGTCGGGTACCCCCCTCGAGTCAGTCCTTGCTGCCTGTGACTTTTCCGGGTTGCGCCACTTAGGGGTCTTTGGGTTGGGGGTCTGAGGTTAATATGAGGGATCAGGATTAATGGTTAATTTTAGGTACTGAGGTCGGGGATAGGCTGTATATGGCTAATATAGGTTAAATTTAGGGTCTGGGATGGTTAGTTCTAACGCATTCTCTACATTTTCAAAAATGGTCAATATGAGGGATCAGGGTTAATGGTTAATTTTAGGTACTGGGGTCARGGATAGGCTGTTATGATCAGTGTCTGTGCTTATGATTTATTCTAAGTTTTCTGTCTTGTCTTCCTGTTTTCTTCCTCCTGTCTGCCTTTGCTTCAGCCCCACACACTCACACCTGATCCTCATGTTTCTCCCCCAGGTGTTTCTTGTGTTAGCTCATTAGTTCTCCTTTATATTCTGTTCTTTGTCTCCAGTCTGTGTCAGATCTTTGTTTCCTGTTTTATGCTCAAGTTCTTGTCTCAAGCCTTAGTCAAGTCTATTAGTTTGGTTTGCTGCCACACCAGCCTCTTGTTTTCATTTAAGTAGATTTTGCTAAACTCGCTCGGTCTTGCATTCTGGGCTTCTACCAGCTAAGTAATTCATTACAGTATAGGGCTAATAGAAATCAAATTTCGGGTCTGGGATGGTTAGTTTCACGCATTTCCAACTCTTTAAAAAATATTACAACGCGCTCGTCCTCTTCAGCCTAATCTCGTAAAGAACTGACGCGCGGGGGGTACCGACGCAGACARCTACCTGACCAAACGTCAATATGTTGACGAGTCGAGAGTGAGAATGGGATGGTTTATTTGTTATGACAAAATTCTCATAACTAATTCTTGATTAATTTCTCAAAGTCTAAAAAAGTTGCTTTTGGAATTTTCCTTTGGGAGTTTTAGCTGTCAAAATCTTATGTAGAACATTCATGTTTATATATTATGCATGGCAACTAAACACAATTTACTAATCTCACTTATTCTTTTCCCAGAAAAGAGGGCATTATTGTTGCCAGACAAAATGTAACTAATCATACTAACAAAATGTCATGATTCTGGAATTTTTGTTTGTGTTTTCTTTTTCTTTTATTAGTCATACTTTTCCTTGTTAAACTGAAGATTGTTCCGAGAACAGTATGTTTCAGCTGGCTTAGTTTCCTCTGTGTCACTGATTGTTGCTTAACTCATATCACTGGTCTCTGCTCATTACTTATCTGCTAATTAGTCCAGCTGCTATCACTCAGTAATCGCTCATCCCAGCATTTTTCTACTCCAGGTTTTCTCTGTCTTTTTTGTTGTGCAGTTTATAAGCTCTGTGTCCTGCTAACTGTTCCTTAAGTGCTACATAGTTCTTTCCTTTTCTGTTTTATAAGTGTTTGCTGCTTCATCAGTTTTGTTTTATTTATTTTTCTCCTAATAAAATTCTAATTTCTGCTTTATTTTGAGTCTGCAGCTTGAGTACCACAACAACATGACACAAGAATACGCAAACTTACAGCACCATGTAATCTTTTGCAAAGCACTTTTTATAGGTTGTTTTAGGAAAATGAATACAAAACAAATCACAAACTCAACAAAAATGGACAGGTACTCTGAAATGCATGAACAGTAAAGAGCTGGATTTGCTTAAGGGTTAGCAATCAGAACCTCCAGCCTCCTAATTAGCACACATAAGATTGAAAACATGATACAAGCCTCTCCCACACTCCATCTTTCTCCCTTTCTCTCTCTGGCCTTCATCAGCTTGGCTCTCTTACACAAATGAATCCTGATCCTTTCCCTCCAGCTTTCCTTGGAAAAAAAAACTATAGTGTTGTGGGAAACTGTATGGATTGTTGCAGCATCTCTGTTTGGTTCAATTTGTTGTAGCTGGTTTGTGCTTTTAATTTAGGTGCATGATCCAAATGTAGTTATTGAACAACAGGATATTATTTGGTTTCAACAGTTTTCCCATCAAAATGAATCTGCTTGGTTATGTAGGGAAAGTATTTCAAGCTGTAATGTGATACATTTTTAGACATTGCAATTTAAATAGCAAACACCATAGTCTAATTTCCTCAGCCTTAATTCCTCTTACTGAAATGCCTTTCTCACTCGGTCAACTTTTCTGCCGTACTGCATGGAGCCAGGCTAGTGGATCGAGATACTGTCCYCTTATTTCCTATTACCCTCTGTGCTTCAAATCAATACTTAATTACCTCCACGAATGATCATCTTGTCCAGCTAGAGAAGTGGACAGCACAGGGCAGGTTGAAATTTGCCTGGCAGAGGAATTCAGTGTTACACAGGGTGAAAGCTGTCCTCCCACTACTGCTACTTAYTGGCCCATCAGTGTCTCTCCCAGAAGCTGGCATTCCGTTTTGCACTATGCAGGCACTTCATTTCATTTCTTTTTCTTTTTCTTTTTTTTCTTTTTTTTTGGGAGGGGACTTTTCATTTCTCAAGCTAACACAGCCACACACACAGAAACACTAGTATTCATGCACAATTTCTCTGCTACTCTCTTGCTAAAAGACCAGTGTTTAATAAGAGATTACATTTATGGTGAGGAGAAGGGCAGGCGGGTGGTGAAATATGTCCACATGTCCTGAACCTGGAAGAGGTGCTGGTACTTAGTCATTAATAATGGGACAGCCCCATGGCCCTGGTCCTTAGCTCTCCATCTCTCCTCATTTCCTTTCTACACATCAAATCTCCCCATGAATTAAGGCTGTGCATTAAAGTTCATGCACATTCATGCCTGTGTGTGTGTGTGTGTGTGTGTGTGTGTGTGTGTGTGTGTGTGTGTGTGTGTGTGTGT